TCCCGCGGGGAGGGCCTCCGGGCGGCGGGAATACAACGGCGGCGTCGTCGACCGCGCGGGGTGGGTCGAGGACGGCAACGACGACATCCCCCTTTCACCGGTTTCGATCGCGCGAACGGAAAAGAAAACGGAACAAACGAAAGAAAAAACAAATGTGGAAGGCGCGGCGGGGATACTCTATCGCGCGACTCGCAAGGGTGGGGGATCGAGAAAAGGACACCCAAGACCTTGTCACAAGACGAAAAAGCACACTCTATCCTAATCAAACGAACCGACAGCGGCGGAGACCTAATGAAAGACAACCCAAAGATTCATAGAAGTACAGAAGAGAATCAGCTTCGCGTTCATTCCGCGATGAAACACACGGCAGGCTGCCCTGTGGAGCCCGCCCCGCCGGAATTTCCGGCTGCGGCAACCAAAATCCAAACCCCCACCATCGTTTCGCGTGTAAAGATACTTTAAAATAGACAAAGCCGAATCTTCACAAGGACAGTGATTTTTTAGGTGTTTTTTTTTTCTATGTATGGTTAACGTTAAATTATTCTATGTCTGCATGAACGTGCGTTTGCGATTTCGCCATGCTCTCCTACTGGTGTTGGGTGGTTTATGGGGAGGAGATCCCCCCCCCCCTCTCTCCCTCCTCAGACTCGCCGAAACACAAATCGCGCCGTGAGGGTGCGCGAAAGCACCTCCATCACCGATTTCAGATTCGACGCATCCGCGCCGTTCACCTCTTTCAGATACCACACCGGGCGGCTGTGGTAGCGTCGGACAAAACGATGCTGCGCGCGAGGATCGGTTGCGGGAAACGTTGGAAACGACGCCACCGCTAACGCGCGCGCCCCCCAATCGTAGCGGAGGCCAATCCCCCACCCCCCTTCCAACGAGGTCCGCCGCGCGATCATCTCCGTCTCGTTGAACTTCTCCAACACCACGGCGCCGTCGGGGAAGACCAAGGGAGAGGCCTCTCCTTCCACTTTCGTTTCCTCGATCGCTCCCTCTTTTTTCTCTTCCTCGGTCGTTTCCTCCTCCGCTATCCTCTTCTCCTCCACTTCCTCCTTCTTTTCCGCTTTCTTCTTCGCCTCCGCGCGGCGCTGCTGGCGGAGTTTCGTGAGGCTTCGATGGCGGGCGATGCGCGTCCGCGCGGAGGGCCGCCGTAGGGATTTCGCCGGCGAAGAAACGACGCCATCGACGAGGGGGATTTCCGGAGCGGAGGGGGGAACCGCCGTCGTGGAATTTTCAACCGGCGGTGCGAGGGGAGCCTCCGCAGGGCGGGCCGATTCTTCCGGCGCGACGTCATCCGGGAGAACCTCCGGCCCGTCGAGGAGGTGATCCGCCGCGGCCTCCTCGACGACCTCCAGCTCCTCCACGACCTCCTCCTCCGCAAAGCCGTCTTCGAGGTCGGCGGCGGGGATTTCCGCCAGCTCCTCCCCCACCTCCTCCATGACCTCCTCCTCTGCAAAGGTGTCCTCCAAATCGGCCGCGGGGGCTTCCTCCACCTCCTCCAGCTCTTCCACCTCCACGACCTCTTCTTCCTCCGCGAAGGCTTCGTCCGGATCGGTTGCAGAAGTTTCTTCCACCTCCTCCACCTCCGCCTCTACCTCCCCCTCTTCCTTCTCCACGGCGGCGTCGTGCGTGAAACCCTCCGGTGTGGTTTCCCCCGCAAGGGTTTCAGGTCGTGCGCGTTGGGAAAGCTCCCGGATTCGCTCCTGAAGCCGGATCAGCTTTGCTTTGAAAAGATCCCGTTCACGCAGCGCGCGTTTTCGTCGCTGCGAGGCCCCTTTCCTCTTCTTTGAGGGGGTTGCATGAGAGAGTTTTTCGTCATCCTTCACGGCATCGTGTGGCCGCCCGGCCGCCTCCTCGTCGAAACCCTCTACCGTTGGAGAAGAAAACGCCCCCTCGTCGGGGTTCAACCCCGGAATGTTCCGCTCAGAGTGCGATGGGGGCTTTGGGCGATGCGTTTGGTCATTTATCCCCACAGCAGGCGGGGTAACATTGGCAGCCTCTGCCTGCTTCTCGGTATGATTTTTCGCCAAAGAGCTCGCCCCACGGTTGGTATCCTTTTCTATGGATTCTATCTCCGTTTCTATCGCCTTCGCCGCCGCGTACAACCCGTCCTTCCCCGTCAAAGGTACCACCCCCTCCTCGAGGACGCCACACCCCGGTTGCATCTTCAACGCCTCCGCCACGGTCGAGGCTAAATTCGCCCCCCCCCATCGATAAAAGGCTTCGTTGGCTTCCTTATTTCCGTATTATCGTTGAAGACCTCCCGTGAATGCCGCTGCGTTGGAAAGGAGGGCGCCGTTCGGACTTTCTTTCGTTGAATTTTATTCGCGTAGCGCCTCCCTAGAATCGGCGAAGGCGACTCCACGGCAGTACCACGGGAATCGTTCACGATCGCGGGCGAGGCCTTGGAAAGGTCCTTAGGGGACGCAGGGGATTCGTCTTTTGGGGGAGATATTTCAGCCTCGTTTTGTGTTTCCACAGCGGGGGGGTATCGCCCGGATTCATCCACGATACCTTTCACTTCTACAGCCGTCGTTGCTTCCTCTAAGGGCTCTGCGGGCGATACCACCTCACACGCGATGAGACGTTTCGCCTGTCCGGTTTTCTTCCCGAGCTTCCCTTTAGGGGCCTTTCGCAACCGCAAAGAACGAACCTCCTTTTTGGTTGTGAGGCTGCCCGTATCGCACTGGTTAGGGGGTAAATCCGAGGGTGAATTATCCTGAATGGGCATCCCCTCCTGGATTTCCTCTTTCTCCCTGCTACTCTCGGCCTCGGTAGACTGAATTTCCTCCGCCTCAGCGTTGCTTGCTTTATCCGATGCCTCCGCCTTAGGCGATAGACGTGCGGCCTTGGTCGCCGCCAGCCTCTTCTCCTTTTTATTCCGAAGGTGGAGAAGCTTCTTAAATTTCGTGTAGCTCATGATTCGATTCGGAGAGGGGTGCGCGATGAAATTCGCATACTGCCATGGTTCGCTCGCCCCTTCCACGGCGTTGCTTTGCACATGGCTCGCGTCGGGGTTTTCATCCTCGGCCTGCTCAACGGGAGGGTTTTCCTCCACCTTTTCATCCTCTTCCGCGGCGAGAGGCTCCATCGGACGCCCTTCTTTCGCTTTCTCCATCGATAGGGGGGTACTCGGAGGAGCCTCCAATACGGCGCATTGCGCATCCGCGCTACCGCCTCTGATGAGAGGCTTTTTATCCATCGTCGCCTCCCGTTCTTGAGAATCTTTTTCTTCCGTCAGCCTCCTCGCATTCCCATCGTTAGCATCCGGCGTTGGGTTATTCTCACTTTTCGCGGGCGTGGCTTCGGTAGATGCGATCCTAGTCGCCTCGGGTTCAGCCGAGGCATGCTCTCCGACCATCCCCCTGCGTCTGGCTTGTTTGCGCGATCGCCTGTAACTCGAAACACTCTTCACGGCAGATCTTTTGGAAATTTTCTCCATCCCTGTGGGGGGGGTTGCTTGAGAAGGCGGGATGCCTGCCGTGGTTTCCTCCGGTGCATTCATCTCCTTCGCCGCGCTCATTTCATTCTGCGCTTCCATCTCGATGGGCTTTTTTTCAGGGATTGCAGCCTGCGGCGTTTCCGTGGCCTTCGCCACAGCGGCAGTGGTTTCCTCCACAGGTAAGGAGGGAGGCGAATCAATGTCCTCGAGCCCCTCAAAAAACTTACGGCGTGAAGGTTTATTCTTATTCGTATTATGGATTTTCATACTATTAAATTTTGTCATCGCGGCACGAGGCCTTGCCGTGGAAGCCTCAGAAGACTGGTTTGGCGGCGCGAGTGGTTCTTGCGTTTCCACGGCGATAGGTTGTGGAGCTTCAACAGCGCTAGGTGGTGCACTCACGGCGGTTATTTCCTCCACCGGTGGCGGATCCACGACGTTGCTAGGCGTTTCGGAACTCACCAAAGACGATGCCCTCACTTTTGCGGCTCCTGGAAGGTTTTTGGAGGCCTTTTTTTGTTTATGACGTTTTGTGCTGATTCGATTTTGTCGTGCGCGGGCTTCAGGCGCCTTTTTCTCCACCGGCGCAGTTGCTTTCACAGGGAGGGCCCCTTCCTTGATTAGGTGGTCCTCTGCAGCCTTTGTGGGCAACTTTTCGTCCAAGCGTGGTGGACCTTCATGGAGAGTAGGGCCCCCTACGGGCGAGAGATTCTCTTCCCCAGGTCCCTCTAATTCCGAAAAAAAACGTCGCTTAGGGGCCGCAGGCATCGCATCATTCGCGGGCGGCATGGAGGTAGCAGGATCTCGCGACGCGGGCGCTTCCGCTGCTACGGTAGGCGGGGATTGTTTTACGGTATGAAGCACCTGCGAACTGGCAGCGGAATAGGTAGGCTCGGTGCTCGTATGCTGTCGGTCCGATGACATGTTAGGTTAAAACCTCAAGAGAGTAAAAGGATTCGGATCTATAGTAAGCTATTCCACGGTGGAATGACGAGGTTTTTGTTTTACGTCTTTTGTTGAATTTCTATGCCCTATACGACGCTTTGTGGCGCCGATACTAGAAACTTTTCTATAAAATAAACTAACGCGACACTCAGTTATGGAAAGTTAATGTTGTGTGCGTAGGAGTGGAGGTGTGTGGGTATTGAAGAGAGATGCGTGGAAATCAGATAAAAAACGAAAACTTCTCCCATTTTCAATGCAGCCCCCCCCCCCCCTCCCCCCACCTATACATTCATGCATACCGATGAAGATGGTGTTGGAGGGGGCCGGGGGTTTTCTTCAAGTCATGTTTAACTTGCTTCCTCGGTGAGAGCACATAAAGCAAACAAACTTAAAGAGCAGGTTTGTCATTTCTTAGTTTACGATCACTGCAATAATAACACTATATGATTACGGAATTGGACCTTGCCGAAGAGCATATTACTTCCAATACTTAGCAGGCTTACCATGTGTGAACTACAAACCACAAGTCCATCACTGTGTGGGTTTGTTCAAAGTGAAAAAAGTTCCTTCCGATGCACGTCTTGCTCGGTGGGGTTTGCACGAGCGCCCTCGACACCCTCCGCCGCCAATCCCATCATTTTCTGTGTTGAGGTGGTGGGGGACATACTCGTCGTGGCCGTCTCCCGGTGGGCGGCGGTCCGCCGCGAAGCCTCCGCGTGGAGTTTCTGCCATCGCCCGAAGTTCGTACACTCCGGGGATTTATCCGCGTAGCTGACCTGAATATGCCGTCGCTTGCCCTCCTCCTCCTCAAGTGGAGAGAAGGAGAAGTGGTTGTGCAGCGCGGCGATCGCGGCGTCCGCCTCGGCGGTGGTGGCGTACCAGACAAAAGCGGTCGGAATGCGTCGCTCCTCGTGCGGCGTGACCGTCGTGGAGTGCCGGACGACGTTGACGTGGAGGACGTGGCCGTAGCAGCTGAAGACGGGGAAGAGGTCGTCCTCCGTGACGTAGGGCTCCAGCTGTCCCACAAAAACACGCGCCCTGGACTTCTGCAGGGCCTGCTTAGAGGGCTTGGCGTACATCGATGATGGGCTGTTGTGACAGTTGAGGTTTCTTTCCTTTTAGGTCCCTTCTTTTGGTTTCGAGGGAGAGAAGGGGTTAGGGAAAGAGAGGAGGGGGGGGTCTTTCTTATCGGTTGGCTGTTTATCGGACTAGGGGGCTTTCTAAGGTGCTTAGGGGTTCGCTAACTGAGACAGTGAGATAAAGAGAGGGGATGAAATATGTATTAAAGGTCAGAGTGACGCTAAGCCATTTAGTAAGGCGGAATGATGGATGGGTGTCTCTCCATTTTTTTGTGTACATCACATCAAAACTCACTATGTTTATGTGTGTATCTTTGAATAACACGTTTCGGAAGAGTAGCGTCAACCCTTCAGAAAAGGCCACCACTTTATATGTGGGTTAGGGCTCGTGCTCTTTTCCCAAAGCCCCCAACATAGATGACCTCAATTAATTGGAAAAGAACCCCAGAACCACTTGCTCCGACCGAATCGGAAGTCGACAAATCAACCTCTTCGTCAGCCCTGGGGGGGGCTGAGAAGGCGAAGTGAGCTGTGGTGTTGAGCATATAATCCTACGGGTGGTGCGAGGAGGTGGATAGTCACAAAGCTGCGTAGCGCCCTCATTGAGGAAAATGCAGCATAGAGGAGGGGGAGTCGCTTGAGGGGTTTCACACCTCAGTGCTATGCACGCGTTATGGTACTGCACTGCAAGGCGTACATCACTGGGGCGATAAGTCGTACACACATATGGATGTATGCGTGTTATCGCTTAGTGTGAAGCCAAAACGAAACTTACATAAATATGTGATCATCCCAAGTCTTCAATCGTTCAATAACAAGAATCGAGGTAAGCATGATATGATTCGCAAAACAAGATACTTTAGGAAAAGATTCCAATTTTTAGATGTAGAATCTTTAATGACTAGTCAGATTTAGTAATAGTTCGTCGTACATCTTAATAACATTTACCAAAACAGTTTAAAAGACAAATTTAAGTCTGAAGATGACAATTCTATTCTTAACTTTCAAAACTAGGAGTTTAATTACATTCTTGAAAAAAAATACATTACACACCTATTCCAAGTCTTTTGTTGATACAAGTCATCCCAGAAGACACATGAAAATGAGTCACTTTTATTTTGTTCCATATTTGAAGGGTTTTTTTTATCTCAGATACACACTCAAGTGTTTCGCAAAGCAACAAATTTTTTTTTGAAGTAATACTAATCGTTTAGAAGTCTGAACACTTCAACATTCATAAATAACCAAGATAATTAGAAGACAACCTCATAGGAAGTAGACTTGCGATGCTTATGGATATATCTACTAGATTAATTCTATTATCGCCCATAAGGGAGTGTAAGCTAAAATGTGGTGAGAAAAACAATGAAGATCACTTTATAATTTTACAGCACGGCCGTGGGCGCCGTGCCGAATGGGGAAAGGGGTTCCGCTCCTTCCCTCCAATACTATATACCGTTTGAACCCTATTTCTCAAACCCTTTAGTTCTACTGTAACTGTAGATTTACTTCTTATTTTTTTCCGTCGCGCTTCTCCCTAGACGGATGGTGTTTTAAGGGCTCCTATTTCGGGATCCTCTCGCGGGCTACTAGCTGAACCGCTTTTGCAGATGAAGTGGCATGCGAATAAAGATACCGGAGTGTGACGACGATTTCGCCACACCATGGGGTGCGATATTATGAATGGAGTTCATGCCATTGTGAGAAGAGGGTGGAATGGAGCTCATGCCATTGTAAGGGTAAGGAGGAATGGCGCTCATGCCATTATGAGAAGAAGGTGGAATGGAGTTCATACCATTGTGAGAAGAGGGTGGATGGTAACTTTTCAACGAAGAGGTAGAGCCACATCGTGGGCTAAGCACCTTTTCGCTGAGATTAGCAGGCCTGTTTTGCCCGAAATCATTTACGCCAACCCCATCACAACGCTGAATCGTCCGATTCACGCGGGTATAAATCTCGATGGCGGATAAATCTTGTTTGCGAACTATTAAAGACAGCCTGCCGGAATTTTTCATATCTGCTAGGATTTTCTTTAACTCCATCTCCGCTGCTACTAAACACATGTCATTTCCCGCGGCGATTACTGCGCTCGGGGTAGAGTCCAAGATTTTCACATCAGCACCGGTACTAATCTTGATTACATGAGCTAAAGCATCACGCCTCTCTAGGAGTAGCTGGTGCTGAAAACCCGTTAAGTGAAAAGTGATTTCGAACATTTTCCCTCTGAATATACACGTATAGACGGTGATCGTAAATTAGAATGTTTGCCCAAACTATTTTTGTATTGATTTAAACTAGAAAATAGACTTTTGCTTTCGTAAACAAGGTGAGGCAGTAGCATAATATCAAGGCACGGAGCTATAGGAATAGTAGTTTTCATCTAATCACATCTGCACAGACGCACATCAAAGCAGATAGGATTCTATAAGAAAGGTTCAAAAACAAGGGGAACATATATGAAAACGACCAAGAAAATCGAATGTACCCGCTTTTACACTCCTTTCGTCCAAACCGTAATTCGCCTGCTTGGCGTGCATAAAGTGCAAAGAAAATGAAGACATCATCGAACTCTTCCTCTATATGTGTATATGCACTATGCTGTGGTGATCTCTACAAAACCGTGTCCCCCTTCTCAGCAAACAAAGTGAATTTATTCAATTCCGCTTCCTGCTGCAGTTCAGGTAAACTATTTGGTAATAGGGTAATGTTACACAAATAAAATGAAATAAAAATGTAGAAAAACCAGGCAATATGAAAAATGAAAGAGAAAATCAAGACAGATAATACCAAAAACAAACAGACCCTCAGAGAATTACATATGCATATGTAGGAAAAAAGTAAGGAAAGAGCTGCTGAAACGGAACGGAATCAAGAAGTATATATCAAAATCTGAAGCATAGATGGAACCACCCAAAACTCCATCGTTTATTTTATTCCCTTCGATTTTCGACACAGTTTGAGTTTCTGCAGCACTTGAACAGAAAGTGTTGATTACCATTTTCAAGAGCCAAGAATAAGCGATGACGACGCTACACGAGAGGACGCTCCCCAACTTAGTACATCACTTTCTGAATACCAATAGCAGTGTGTATATATAGATATATGCATGAGCGTCATGCGCATTTTACTAGTAGAAAAAATCTTTCATTGCTATACACTTCTTTTCTAGGGTGCGCCTGCACGGCGCCAAGTTCTGTGGCATTTTAGCAGTTCGTCTCCGCAGCACCCCTTCCGATAAAAGGGGAAATATTCCCGACCTCAGCATAAAAGAAAGACGAAAGCAGGTGCTCCGATCAAAACGGATCGTTTGCATTTATTCTATATCTCTAAGATTCTGATGCGGCGAAAGGGCAGGGTATTGTATAGTTCCTAATTTCCTCTCATAGCAACCGCAGCTCCGATTGACTCGTTTTTTAAATCAGTTTTCTTTATAACTCACCGTCCTGTGTGGCAATAAGTTCTATCAACGTCTGTTCACCTGAACGAGCTTTTGTTCGCTTCGATTGATCAAATTGTTATTAGAGCGGATTGTCTTTCCACAGCTATGGAAAACGTGCAACCGTAGCAGCCTAATCCACAAGAGAAGAAAGATCCAAGCCAGCGCATCATGACCAGCGAGTGAAAGGAATGGTGGGTGCTAGACACAATCCACATAAATAAATGTAAGGAAAGAAAAAGTGTTCACAAAGGGTGGCAGATAAAACCCTCCCTCTGCTCTCAGCAAGCCTTTTGATCAAATGAAACCGCCTTTATTTTCACCACCACATTGTCTAACTTCTAACCGAGCTAAATTCACCTCCCCCCCCTACGATCCTCTTGATTTTAATTTATCAAGGGACTTTTCACTTTCAAAACCACACGGTTAGTAACCATAAAACCATCGATTCTTGCCGACGCTCTCGTCGTCGACTTCTGGATCGCTCGCGTAGAGTTGTGTGCGTTCATCCGTTTCATAACCCACCCCCCAATCCTCCCGCGCGGCGGAATATCCATCATCGCCGCGATACCGATTCCCCTCCGCGTACTCCAGCAACGTCACGAGAATTTTTCTCGTTTTGTTGTAAAAAAAGTAGTGATGCGAGAAGATCGAGGTCTCCGCGCGTGGATCGCAGCTCGGGCAGCTGAACTCATACACCTCACACCCCTGCGAGGCGTCCAATACCTGCTCGTGGATCGCCGCCCAGAAATTCCGCACCGCCGGCTGGCAGCTCTCCGGGAAGCTCTGCATCGTGAGTTGGATTTCATTCCGCACGGTGGCTTCGTTGTGCGCGATAAAATCATTCTCGGTGAGCACGGAGAAGTCGTAGCCATCCTTCCCGTACATGCTGTTTAACGCCGCAACGAAGTAGATCAGACGCTCGTCGATATCGTCAGGGGAGATCGTGGGAGCGTTCGCGGTGTAGAACGAAAGCGGGGCGGCGTCGACGGAGCTGCCGAGGACGAGAGGGGGGGGAACGCAGCTCGCCTCGCCGGTGAACATCGACATCGGCGCGGCGTTCGTTCCCGGTGAGGGCGAGAGCGGCGGGGTGCGCTGCACGTCGGTTTGATACTGCGCTAAATTCGCCGCGATCTGCCGCTCCTCACGGGTATGACGGCAGGTAAAGGCCTCCAGACGGATGGTAATCAAGCAGCCGTGCGCCTCCACGCCGTAAAGCAAGGAATTGATCGCCTCGAAACTCGGTAGTGGGATGTATTTCATGGGATCCGCGCTAAATATCGACTTTTTCTTTTTCCTTTAGTCCTTTTCAACAAATAATAAGTTCTGCTCGATAAGAAAAGCATATTGCAAGTGTATCAGAGGGAGAGAAGAAAAAACACACGTCGTGTGGTTGTCAAGCCGGGCACAAGACACCCCTGAGCTTACTACAAATACACATAATCTCTGAGGGGGTTCGTCCATTGGAGTGAACGCGCCGCATAAAGTAGTTCAACTGGAGCGAAAAGAGGAGCTCTCCGTTTTGGTTCGTTGTTTGGCTATACACACTCTGAAAGGGGCGTCCGTGTAATACCATCAATCAATGCCTTCCCATCACATGGATTTAGAAGAGACACAAATGCGGATCTGTATTAAACATGCAAAGGCCCCTCTTAATAGTTTTCTTTCGTTTTACATTTAGCAGAACGTTTTCTTTCCGGAAACGCTCAAAGAAATTGCTCACTACGCACGTTGACATCATCTTCTGAAGACACTGTCATAGCCTTGGTGCTGTAATAAGTTCACTCCGCGGTCTTTATACGATATACTCTTCAGTTACTTTGTTAAGCCACCTTTTTATTTTCGCATGATAAGAGGACTTCAATAGTTCGTGTAGCATGTAAGAACAGACGTCTTCTCATTTGGATCACCTCCCTGAGCCTCTGTGAGCGGCAGCAAGAGCAGATATGGGCTCCCCATGAGCTGAAAAGGCCCCTTTACGTGGTTGCTGATGCGTTTATTCTAAACGATAGAAAAACGAAACATTACCACCTTCCCCACGGGCAATGGAGCTTACGACGCGCCCTTACCGTCATCCTGCTATCGCTCCTCATAAAACTTCTCCACGGTGTAGATCAGATAACGAGGGGCAGAAACAGGTCGAGATGCCGCGACTAATGTAAAACGCCGGTCACTCCCTTCCTTGGCCATATTCTCGTTCCCATGTCAAAGCAATTGAAAGAGGGAGAAAATGGCATAGGATAGTCATACATTATATACAATTCAGTGTTGGATACAAAACACACACAAAAAACCTGCATCATACACACAACCGATGCGTTCTCTATGGACAATATCATAATTAGAATCTAATAACTAAATCAACTAATCAGCCTGCCGTCAAGTAGCATGTGACATCAAAGAATGACAAAATTCAACGAAAAAGAGGCTCCCATTATTTCCCAACTTGTTTGTCATTACACACGGGGGAGCACAACGCATATCTTTTTTTCAAAAAAATAGTAAAGGACGTATCCATTTCCTTCCCCATTTTTGCCCTACAAAAATAAGAAGGGTGCCCACTATTTACGAAACCATCCCGTTATTCAATTATCCCGACTCCAGCACTCGATTCAACATAAGTGATATCAACCCTGAATTCACAACCCAATCTCCAATTTTCTCTCCCAAAGCCGTAAGAAGACCTGGAAAACGATAGGTGCGTTTAGGCAACCAACGCGTTGTAGCCCTCGTGGATCCCCGTCGCCCGCTTCGACTCCTCCGTTCCGGGTTTCAACACCCGACTGACGTCAACCTCTCCGCGAACGAGCTGCGTATCGCGCTGCACTTTATTCAAATGCTTTTCCATTTTAATCAGGCGATGCACGGAGTAGACGGCGACGCTGCAGAGGCAAAGCGCGACGAGCCACGCCCCCGCCCCGAACAGCGCCACCACGCTCATGATGAACATAAAATCTAGACGAAACCACATCATCGAAATCCATCGTGTTTTGGAAACTTCCACCAACTCGAGCAGCATGATCACGCGCGCGGCATAGAGCACCACCGCGGCGAGCCCGGGCGCCACCACGAGGTACGCGAACCACCCCGGGATCGAAAAAAGCGTCCACGAAAAAGCCGAGGGAAAAAGCAACGCGAGAAGCGTAAAGATCGGCGCTGCCACCCCACACACCACCACCGTCGCGTGCACCGCACTCAACGGGCGATGCCAGGGAGGAAAGACGGAAAACCCCGCTCGCTCGGCGATATTTTCCT